GCTATCCTCTTGTGGGTATTTATCAGTTTTCATACAAAATTCACAAAACATAAATTTTTTTAACAAATCTGTGAATTTTGGGTGAAAGCACTGATATGTAGACCCCTTAGTAGAAGCTCTTTCATGTCATTTCATGGGTTTTTTTTTTTTTACGGATGGACAACTACTATACTGATTAAACGACGGAAATTGTTTGCTCTGTTATTGTTTATCAGTTTTCATACAAAATTCACAAAACATAATATTTTTAAACAAATCTGTGAATTTTGGGTGAAAGCGAGAAAAACGTTCATGCTCGTCACTTCAGATATTGTCACATGAACTGTCAGGAAAGCCGTGCACTTATCGATCAGACTATCAAACGATCCTCCAAAAGCTATTTTTGTCATCCAGTTTTCTGAACGTGTGTACTAGGAGTTAGAATATATGTTCTCAGACATATCCATACATCTGGATCACATCATTGAAAACAGAGTATACAGCGTGGAACATGGCCGGATCTAGGGGGGTGCTTGGGGTGGGCTATGCCCCCCCACATTTCAGCTGTGCCCCCCCAGCAACCCATGGACTTTGTCCAACAAGAGAAGCTGTCTGCAGTGGCTCACACAGCCCGACACAGCAGATTTCCTCCTCCCCTTCCCTGCACTCACAGCAGAGGAGATTGATGTACACTGCTTCCTCCCGCCCCTTTCCTCCTGTCTGCCCCGCCCACACTCCAATTCCCGGCCAGTGCTGTGCCTAAGAAGATGTGTGGGTGGGAAATTTGAAGCACTGCAGCTGGCAACTACATGGTGGTTGCAGGATTGATTCCTCTGTCTGTGCCTGCATAGACCAGCCTGAGTGAGTGAGCTGAGCTACACTACAGCTGAACTCTCCCCATCTCCCTCCTTCTCTCCCCCTCTACCATTCTATCTCCCCTTTCTCTGCCCCTCTATCTTGCCCCCTTCTCTCCACACCTTCTCTCCCCCCTCTATATCCCCCTTCTCTCCCACCTGTATTTCCCCCCTCTATCCCCCTTCTATCTCTCCTTCCTTTCTTCCCACCTTTGCCCCCCTCTATCACCCCCCCTTCTCTCCCCCTCTAACTCCCTCCCTTCTCTCTCCCCCCTCTATATCCCCCTTTCTCTCCCCTCCCCTCTCTCCCCCCTTTTTATCCCCCCTTTCTCCCCCTCCCCCCCTCTTCACCCCCCCATCTTCTCTCCCCCTCTATCACCCCCCTTCCCCCCCCCATCACCCCCTCTATCTCCCCCCCCCCTTCTCTGCCCTTCTATCCCTTTTCTCTCCCCCTCTATCCCCCCTGTATCTCCTCCCTTCCCTTTCTCTCTCCCCCATTTGTCTCCCTCCCCCTCTCTGTTCATGTTAACACACAGGGACAATTTCAGTATTATTGGGATGGCTGACAATCTGAAGGCTGGATAAACTGATGGAGTTATTACTCACAAGTTTGTGATGCTTCTGTTTAACCCCTTCCTGCCCAGCCCCAGCATCCCTTTGGGGATTGTTCACATGAACTTTGGTCTCTGAAGAGCGATCTGCATTCAGATCACTCTTCAGAGAGCAGTTAGCAGGCAATGAGGAGATGTAGTCTCCTCACCACCTGCTTTAACCCCTAGAACCCCACACTAGCTCACTGCAAACATGTGCATTGCATGTAGTTGTGGGTGCTTACAGAGCAGCTTCATTCACTTGAATGGGTCACATTCAGCAGGCACTGTGCCCACAGAAAGCAACAGAGGAAAGAATTTCTTCCACGGCCACAAAACATCACAGTGGCATTATGTGTACACCCCAACCCTGTGCTGCCAACCAGCCATAAATTTACAGTTTGTATAAAACAGACACTTTTCTCCTATCTGAAATGATCATAGACAGGAGAAATGTGCCCTTAAAAAATCCCTTTGTCATGGGGCACTCTGCCGGACTCTGAAGTAAGGGGGCACTCTGCTGGACTCTGATGTAAGGGGGCACTCTGCTGGACTCTGATGTAAGGGGCACTCTGCTGGACTCTGATGTAAGGGGGCACTCTGCTGGACTCTGATGTAAGGGGGCACTCTGCTGGACTCTGATGTAAGGGGGCTGGACTCTGATGTAAGGGGGCACTCTGGATTCTGATGTAAGGGGGCACTCTGCTGGATTCTGATGTAAGGGGGCACTCTGCTGGACTCTGATGTAAGGGGGCACTCTGCCGGACTCTGATGTAAGGGGAAATCTGCTGGACTCTGATGTAAGGGGGACCTGACCAAGGTGTTCATTTTCTCAATAGTTGCTGGTTTTAATGGTGTTCTCCATTAAGGTAGGCTCAGTGAGGCAGTCTATACATTAGTCATTCTTTCTCGTCCAACAATGTGTTGAACGAAAAAAAATATTACTCAGTTCTCTCATCCCACAAGTTCAATGTAGATGGGGAATCACTCCCGCCGAGGTAATGTGTTCTGACAGCGAAGAGACTTCATTGCCACCAGAATACACTGATCAGTGCTGCCAGCTATACCCGGCGCTGCTAATTGTGCAGAAATTTTCCCTAGAGGCTGATTGTACAGAAGTCGATTAGTAGGTCGACTTCTGTACAACCAGCCTGCCCATACATGGATTGAAATTCAACCGGTCCCTACTGAAGCAATTAAATTTTGATCCAAGTATGGCTGCTTAAGGGCACAAATATCCAAAGGGATTCAAAAAGAAGTCTAGTCCCTGGAGGTGTGACCAGTAGGTAAGAAGACCACGCCATTGAAAGTACTGGAGCCAGGTCATGGGGCGGGTTGTAGAGTGGATGCTATACTGGAAAATATATTTATGTTTAACATGGTGGTGAGTAGCTCCAGAGATCGGAGAAAGATCTGTAACATCAGTTTAGAAAGGGAGAATCCTGGTGGCAACTCAGAATTGCCCAGGGAAGGAGTGAGTGGTCCAACATCTGGAGACAGATATTGATGTTTAAAAATTAAGTCCCGGGCCTTTAGGAGAGGAGGAAACCCAATGGGAAAGGTGAAGAGTTGGGGGAGCTTTTGGAGTGATATCCAAGAAACAGCCAGAAAAAATTGTTGGTTGGTTTTGAATTGTAACCCATAACGTGTCCTTCCATTGATGTATCCAGTCAAGGAGAGAGGTTAGTACTAGAAGCTCATGGCATTCTAATATAGTTTGAGGTGAGGAAGACCACACACCACCAGCTGACTTTTACCTGACAAAGATATTGCATCATAACTTGGGAGGGGTGAGGCCAGATATAGTTCAATAATGTGGTTTTCAAGATACAGAAACATTTTGGGGCAATGCTTGAAAGACGTTGATAAGGGACAATGTCCATCTTGAAAAGCCCTTGCGGCTTGTACAGATTAGAGGAACCCCAAAATACTTAATGGCTAAAAAGCAAGCAATTGTTTGCATCATTAGCTAGCCATTGATCAGTCATAAAGATACAATTTTGTTGAGGAAGGAAGGTGGGATCCCAATCCTTTTGAAGGGTAAAACACAATAAGGTCTTCAAATCTCCTAGATTGTAAGCTCCCAAGATCAGGCCCTCAAATCCCTCTTGTACTGATCTGTATTGTTGCTGTATTGTCTCCCGTTATATTGTAAAGTGCTGAGCACACTGTTGGTGCCATAAATCCTGTATAATAATAATAATAATAATAAAGGTCCAGCCAAGATGACCAAAGGCCTTCTAGGCATTGATAGATAATATTGATAAGGGTGGGTTATGTTTTGGTTGCATAGTCAATAAGGGAAAATGTTTTGCTAGTATTGGGGGGCATCTGCTCATTTACATTTGTTGGTTCCTCATATCTCTGTCTTCTCTTCCAGCTTCTATAATCTTGAAGAACAGTAAGCTTGTCTGCTCTAGTGTCAACCAGCCAGGAGCATACGCTGCCTGTCCTGCAGGTAAATGACCACAAGACCTCCATAGAGCTCAGTGTCAGTGTGATGAGATGTATACTTCATTCCAGACCACCCATGAGGTCCTAGAGATCTCAGACCAAAGAAGAACCGCTGTCACCTCCCCAGAAGAACAGGGTGGGATCAATCTAAGAAATGACATGACTCATGCACCATAGATAGGCTTGTCCACTCCACCATTACCTATCCATACCACTCCCCACCCCCTTAACCAAATAAACTTTACAAAAAAAATGACACCATTTGGAGTAAATGGCCAACATGGTCTTTTATTAACAACTTCACATTTTCACATACATCAACCGTTCCTTAATGGAAACCAAAGAATTGCTGTTGGTCTTCAAAGGCACCCACAAACGATCCAAAATGCACCTGCGGACAACCCTATACACTAGGCCTCCAGCCGCAACCAACCAGCTCGGAGACAACCATACCGTCCGCAGTGCAGCACCACCACCTTCCAGTTAAACCTTGGTTAACTGGGAATATCCACCGGGCCCCCCATACCACGGATGGGGTCCCACACCATTGTTTTACCTTCCAAGATGAGAACCGCCTCCAAAGACCAACAACCGCCATGAACCAACAGAAAAAAACCCTTTCCAACTGGTGTCCTTTTTTTTTTTCTTACCTGCCCCCCGGACGAGACCCTATACCCAACCAAACAGGGAGGGCGGGAGGGAAGCTCTGGTCCTTGCACACGTCCAGCTCCACTGACGCCCCTTCCACAGAACCCCCCACCCTAAGGTACCACAGACCCTTCCTACACTCCACATCTGCCAATCCTATAATTCCCCAATCAATTCCCCACCCCCTGGAGCTAAATTTAACCCTTTCCGTTCCCTACACCACTCTGGGCCTAGTCATGTATGCCCTGCGCTATTTCCATTCTTCCCTATTCGCTACGGGCATTTCTGGACGGGAGAGCTGGACATTCAACTCAAAGCCTCTATGAGGTTATTTTTGGGGTACACCTCAGGGCTGCTAACCTCTGCACATTGTGTGTATACAGTATATGTATGATTGTAGAATGTTCTAATCTGATATTTCATCACCTCCTCCTCATTTTATGCAGATTACAGCACCACGGGGTGTGCCTGCGGGATGGGCTGTGGCTCGTGGGACATCCAATCGGAGAGAACGTGCCACTGTCAGTGCAACAATATGGACTGGACATCGGCCCGCTGCTGCAAGGTCGTATCTAAGTAGTCTGACCAGCAGAGGGCGGACGCTCATCGATGGGAGTGACACCCCTGAATGATCTCTACTATCACAATCAGCTGGGAGCTGCACGTTATAGAAGTTGTAGCTTCATAGAACGGCTTACGGGACCAACTATAAAAGGTTGAGATTTATATTTTGGTCACTGGGGGGCACTGAGGCCTGGTTTCCTTTGTGGCAAATAAAGTTTTCCTGAAAAAGTCTCTCATTTACTCCACCCTAAACCTGGATTCTTTCCTATTATTCCTATCAGTGGGAGGCCGGAGAAGGAACTTGGGGTGACACAACAGGTTCTCTTCACTTTTAGCTGGGCCTCATCAATCAGAACACACAAACATGGAGTGATGGGATTGGTTACCTGAGTAACAGGTCAGAATCAGCCAATCAAGGAGCCTCATGGCCACAAGCACTGCCCCCCCCCCCCCCCCCCCCCCCCCTGTGTATATGGATCCTTCAGTGAGTATAATGGAAAAGTTTTAGGTATTTTTTTGTCTGAAGCAAAGAGTCATAAATCTGACAAGGCTGAGCAATATGATTGGTTGGGGCAGTACTACAATATTGCATTATGGCCACTAGGTGGAGCTGAGGAGCATAGGAAATACACACATTCTGAGAATGCCTTGGAAATACCCAGATTTCTGAATGGCCTGCTGGGGGTCATATGAGATTCTGTACTGGTTAATCCTGGGGAATTAAAGCTGTCTGTACTGGTCATTGTTGGGGCACCGAGATCCATACTGCTCAGGTTGCTGGACCCGTATTGATCATGCTGCGGGAATTTAGGATTGTATAGGACACTGCTGGGGGGAAAATCTGTTACTGGTTAGGACCTGTAATGGAGACCAGTTGCCGGAAACTATGGTTACATTTATTTGCCAAATCCTACTAGAAAGCTCTAGAAATAATCCCTTCATGACAACTGATCAGCCCATTGTCAAAACATGTCCTGGTCACTGCTGGGTTAGTACATGAGATCTGTACTGGTCACTGCTGGGGGACACCGAGATCTGTACTGGTCACTGCTGGGGAGGAACCGAGATCTTACTGGTCACTGCTGGGGACACAAGATCTGTACTGGTCACTGCTGGGGATGCTATGATCTGTACTGGTCACTACTGAAATCTCTACTGGTCATTGTAGGGCACTGATATCTGTACTGGCCACCTGGGGACACCAAGGTCAGTACTGTCTTTGTGGGGGGCACAGAGTTCTGTATTGACTGCTGTCCAAAGATCTGTACTAAACTGATGAGGAGACACAGATCTGTATTGTCTCAGTCGACTGCAGGTAACTTGGAGGACACTGAGATCTGTACTGGTCACTGCTGGGGCACATTGAGATCTGTACTGTCACTGCTGGGGGCACTGAGATCTGTACTGGTCACTGCTGCTGGGACACCGAGATCTGTACTGGTCACTGCTGGGGACACCGAGATCTGTACTGGTCATTGCTGGGGACACTGAGATCTGTACTGGTCACTGCTGGGGACACCGAGATCTGTACTGGTCACTGCTGGGGACACTGAGATCTGTACTGGTCACTGCTGGGGACACTGAGATTCTGTACTGGTCACTGCTGGGGACACTGAGATCTGTACTGGTCACTGCTGGTGGGACACTGAGATCTGTACTGGTCACTGCTGGGGACACTGAGATCTGTACTGGTCACTGCTGGGGACACTGAGATCTGGACTGGTCACTGCTGGGAACAAAGATCTGTAGGTCAGTCACTCTGGAGACACTGAGATCTCAACTGGTATACTGCTGGGACACCAGAGATCTGTACTGGTCACTGCTGGGGACACTGATCTGGTACTAATAGAGGAATCACTGGAGCAGCACTGTACTGTGACATTACAATAATCTGGGGACTGAGATCTGTACTGGTCACTGCTGGGGACACTGAGATCTGTACGGTCATCCGATGCAGGTGGAGACTCACTGCAAGATGTAATGTACTGCACTGCTGGACACACTGAAGCCAATCTGTACTGGTCACTCCATTGGGGACATTGAAATCTGTACTGGTCACTCTGGAACATGAAATCCCTGTACTGGTCACTGCTGGGGCCACTGAGATCTGTACTGGTCACTGCTGGGGACACTGAGATCTGTACTGGTCACTGCTGGGACACCTGAGATCTGTACTGGTCACTGCTGGGGACACTGAGATCTGTACTGGTCACTGCTGGGGACACTGAGATCTGTACTGGTCACTGCTGGGGACACTGTACTGGTCACTGCTGGGGAGATCTGTACTGGTCACTGCTGGGGACACTGAGATCTGTACTGGTCACTGCTGGGGACACTCTGTACTGGTCAGATCTGAGATCTGTACTGGTCACTGCTGGGGCACTGAGATCTGTACTGGTCACTGCTGGGGACACCAAGATCAGTACTGGTCTGCTGGGGACACTGAGATCTGAACTGGTCACTGTTCTGGGTTCACTGCTGTGGGGCACACTGAGATCTGTACTGGTCACTGCTGAGGACACCGAGATCTGTACTGGTCACTGCTGGGGACACTGAGATCTGTACTGGTCACTGCTGGGGACATTGAGATCTGTACTGGTCACTGCTGGGGGCACACTGAGATCTGTACTGGTCACTGCTGGGGACACCGAGATCTGTACTGGGTCACTGCTGGGGACACCGAGATCTGTACTGGTCACTGCTGGGGACACCTTGAGATCTGTACTGGTCACTGCTGGGGACACCGAGATCTGTACTGGTCACTGCTGGGGACACTGAGATCTGTGCTGGTCACTGCTGGGGACAATGTGATTTGTACTGGTCACTGCTGGGGACACCGAGATCTATACTGGTCACTTGCTGGGGGCACTGAGATCTGTACTGGTCACTGCTGGGGACACTGAGATCTGTACTGGTCACTGCTGGGGACACTGAGATCTGTGCTGGTCACTGCTGGGAACATAAAGATCTGTACTGGTCACTGCTGGAGACACTGAGATCTGTACTGGTCACTGCTGGGGACACTGAGATCTGTACTGGTCACTGCTGGGAACATAAAGATCTGTACTGGTCACTGCAATGGAGACACTGAGATCTGTACTGGTTACTGCTGGGGACACTGTGATCTGTACTGGTCACTGCTGGGAACATAAAGATCTGTACTGATCACTGCTGGAGACACTGAGATCTGTACTGGTCACTGCTGGGGACACTGTGATCTGTACTGGTTACTGCTGGGAACATAAAGATCTGTACTGGTCACTGCTGGGGGCACTGAGATCTGTACTGGTCACTGCTGGGAACATAAAGATCTGTACTGGTCACTGCTGGGGACAATGAGATCTGTACTGGTCACTGCTGGGGACACTGAGATCTGTGCTGGTCATTGCTGGGGACACCGAGATCTGTACTGGTCACTGCTGGGGATACCGAGATCTGTACTGGTTACTGCTGGGGACACCAAGATCTGTACTGGTTACTGCTGGGGACACCGAGATCTGTACTAGTTATTGGTGGGGCACACCGAGATCTGTACTGGTCACTGCTGGGGACACCGAGATCTGTACTGGTCACTGCTGGGGACACCGAGATCTGTACTGGTTACTGCTGGGGACACTGAGATCTGTACTGGTTACTGCTGGGGACACCGAGATCTGTACTGGTCACTGCTGGGGGACACTGAGATCTGTACTGGTTACTGCTGGGGACACCGAGATCTGTACTGGTCACTGCTGGGGACACCGAGATCTGTACTGATTACTGCTGGGGACACCGAGATCTGTACTGATTACTGCTGGGGACAATGTGATCTGTACTGGTCACTGCTGGGGACACTGAGATCTGTAATGGTCACTGCTGGGGACACCGAGATCTGTACTGGTCACTGCTGGGGACACTGAGATCTGTAAATGGTCACTGCTGGGGACACCGAGATCTGTACTGGTCACTGCTGGGGACACTGAGATCTGTACTGGTTACTGCTGGGAACCGAATAATTAATAATATTCTCAATGAAAAGGTCCTGTATCTTCTAATATCTTGATATTTCCTTCATAAAAACAAAAGTTGATTCTCACCAGAAAGTAGGAACCCCATTGGCCATTGGGAAGAACTCCCCCCGGGCAATACAGATCACTGAAACGACCAATGGTGTCAGTGGGGACTATCTGAGAGGCAGGAACTGCTCATTACCCCAGGAGCCCCCAACAACCTCTGGAGGAGCCCTGATCTGGGGACTTGACTCACTCCTCCAGGACGCACTTCTTTAGCACATTATAACAGAACTCTACCGTACCGCTACGTCGCTGGACCTTCAGTGGTTGGCCGCAGCTGCAGGCACCACCCCAGTGCTGTATTTTAGAGCCGGTGGTCGGCTATCTTGTAGTAACAACTGAAGTGGCTAGCTGTCTATTACAAGCAGTGGGGAGGGGCATAATCCCCCCCCCCCACTGCCTTCCTCCTCTTACTTGGATCTCCCGTCCCACTGGGAAACCCAAGCAACCAAGGCTGGTGCTACCACCAGGCAAACTAGGCATCTGGCTAAGGAACACCGCTGCCTAGGGAGGCAGAAACAGCTGCTGGTCTCCCTACTCTGCACACTTGCCAAATCTGGGGGGGGGAGATGGGCTTTGGGAGGATTTGGGTAAGGTGGGAGTAATTTATACTGAGAAGGGTAATTTGGAGGGGTTTAGCTAGAGGAGGGATTTGGGGGAATTGGTCCTAGGTGGAGGGATTAAAGGAAGATGAGTGATGCTGGGAGGGGGGATTTGTGCAAGGAGGGGGATCAGTGGGATTTGTGTGTTAGGAGAGAGGATTGGGGGGATTTGTGCTAAGAGGGGGGATTGGAGGAATTTGTGCTAGAATGGAGGATTCTGGAGAATTTGTGCTAGAAGGGGGGGGTGGGTAGTGTCGTGATCTGGGAGGGGGGATTTGTGTCTAGGATGGGGGGATTTGGGGGAGAGGATTTGTGCTAGGGTGGAAAATCTGAGGGGACGGGAGAGGATATGTTCTGGAGGG